TCAGAACCCTCACCGGAACAAAGACTCTTCCTGTCTGCTCCCTGATCAGAGTCTGCCTGTCGCTGGGTGACTGTGGTCTGCGAGCCGCTTCCATATCCATTGACTGCTCGGGCTCTCTCTCCCTCTTTCCTCCTCCCTCGCCTGAGCAGCGGAGATGGGAATCCAGGTTCTGCCCTCAGTCCTTCCCGCCCTAATTCCTGTGCCGTGTACCCTTCCCTTCTCCTCAGGCAGCAGATGTGCTGTGCTGGGGCCAGGTGGACAGAGTGATATTAATCTAGCAACTATTGATTCAGGAGGGACTTGGAGGACATATTTACATGAAAACCGTAATGTGAGCAGAACTTCTGCTGCAGAAATTAGGTATTTTTAGGCCTGGGGTCTGGGGGAGAGGAAGGGGCCTAGGATGTGCTCCTAATTCAGGCTGGGGGGGGACTCAGAATCTGGCCACGCAGAGGGCCAGACCTGGGGACTCTGGGAGTGGCAGGGAGGCCTGGGAAAGAAGCGTAGGGCAGGGGGAGGGTTGGGAATAATGGGGGGAGGGCAGCTGCCTTACCACCTTCCATGTCCTGAGAGGCCAAAGGAAGAAAAGCCCCAGCTAAGGTCTAAAAAGAGTATGCTTGCATATGCATTGAACATTGACAATTAGGTGTTAATATCAGTCAGGGTCCCCATAGGAAACAGATGGCACATGCAAACTGGGAAATGTGAGGCCAGTTTAATAAAGGAACTGTTGACAGAGGTGTGGGAAGGGTTTGGGGAACCATATGGGAAGGCTCACTGTGCAATACCCTCGGGCTGATAACCAGGGGGCAGTACACCCCCACCCTGAAGGGAGGAAGTGGGGAGCGATTGTGGAAACCTGGAGGCCGAGAAGCTGCAGGAATGAGCTCTGACCCTCTGTGGAGGGATGCAGCGGCCCACTCTGCTGCCTCCTTCCTCCCTCCCTCCCTCCCTCCCCCTCCCCATCTTCTGCCAGTTTCCCCCATTGACCAGAGGGAAGGAGGCCCCCGATGCAGTCCAGACACAGAACAGGGAGGGGGAGGGAGAGTGGAGGAAAGAATAAAAGGCATCCACCGCAAGGGCGCAAGGGGATTTCCCCAGTCCCGTGTTTCCCCCCTCCCCTTCTCTTCCTTCAGGGCACCAGAATAGCTCTAATTGATGCTCACTCTCTGCCGGGCACTGTTCTAGGCCTTTAAAAGGTAGGGAGGGAGACGCAAGAGGGAGGAGATGTGGGGATATATGTATGTGTATAGCTGATTCACTTTGTTATACAGCAGAAACTAACACACCATTGTAAAGCAATTATACTCCAATAAAGATGTTTAAAAAAAACAAAAAAAGGTAATACACTCCAGTATCCATGGGGGATTGGTTCCAGAAACAGCGCCCCCATACCAAAACTACCTTATATAAAATGGTGTAGTATCTGCATATAACCTATGCACATCCTCTCATATACTTTAAATCATCTCTAGATTACTTATAATACCTAATGCAATGCAAATGCTATGTAAATAGTTGCTGGGAGCATGGCAAGTTCAAGTTTTGCTTTTTGGAACTTTCTGGAATTTTTTTCCCCCAAATATTTTCGCTCCATGGTTGGTTAGAGGCAGAAGCCGCAGATATAGCCACCTGTAACTCCCTTAACTTTTACAACTGCTGAGGGAGTTGATGTTGTTATGCTCACTCCCAATTCGGGGAAACTAAGGCAGGGAGAGGTTAAGTATTTTTTCCTAGAGTCGCACAACTGGTAAGGAGAAGGCTGGGATTTAAACTCAGGTTGACTGGCTCCAGAGGGTTGGCCTTGCCTGTTGATTCCACACTCCCCCAAGGCCAGGAATCAGAGTCAAGGAAAGGAGATGATGGGCACCCAGGACAGGACAGCAGTGCCAAGCCCTTTGCAGCAGGAAGGACCCAGCTTAGCACTGAGGAATAAGTTCTAGTGAGCAAGTGTGTGAAACATCGTTTCAGGGAATAAGTTTGAGCCAAACCTCCCTCCCAGAGAGTCTCTGCTCAGAGAGATGGCCAGGCTCTCCTGGGGAGGGACAGAATTGAGCCTGAGAATGAAGGAATGAAAGAGGTGCTCTGGGGACTAATGACCTGTGGGGTGCAGGATGGGGTAGGGTAAGGGTGCATGGATGGTGTAGTCACTGGGGTACTTCTGGAAGCCTTGCAGCAATGCAGTAATAGGTTTTAATACCATTGCACACACAAGTGAGGAAACTTAAGAAGAAAATCATCCTGCTGTAGCTTTCCAGACCTTGAGTAAGTAGTGGCAGTAGGGAGGGAAGAGAGAGGAGGGGTTAGGAGCAAAAAGAGCATGAAGGAAACCCAGGGGCCTCTAGGGCTTGGGGAGGCTCATCACAATCACCTTTGGGATCACTTACCTGCTGGCCCCAGGACTCCGCCCCCAGTGGAAGTGATTCTGATTTGCTCCTATCCCAACGGGGAATCACTGATCTAGTTCAACCTTTCACTTCACAAATAATGAAAGTGACATCAAAGAGGTCACTGAGTGGGTTAAGGACATGTGAGGGATGTGGGATCAACAGGGCTTGGTGACACATTGGATGGCCCGGGGAAGGAAAGAGGTGGGAACTGATTCAGAGGGTCTGGGTCAGGCTCCAGAGGAACCGTTGGGCAGCTCCATATTAGAAGTTTCAGGGAACCAACACTAATTTTTAAAAGGTTTTAAAATTTTTATTGAATAGGTATTAAACATATTTAATATTCAAAAATGAAAATAAAATAAAAAGGTATATATTGAGAAGACTGGATCACCATTTTGCTACTTTTAAGTAACCATTTTTTAAAGAATTAGTTTTGGTTTATTTTTCCATTGTATCGTAATGCTAATAGAGCAAATATAAATATATATTCTTATTTCTACACTCTTTTTTAAGAAATTTATCTATTACTTATTTATTTTTATTTTTGGCTGCGTTGGGTCTTCGTTGCTGCGCACGGGTTTTTCTCTAGTTGCGGTGAGCGGGGGCTTCTCTTATTGCGGAGCACGGGCTCTGGGCACACGGGCTCAGCAGTTGTGGCTCATGGGCTCTAGAGCACAGGCTCAGTAGTTGTGGCCTACAGACTTAGTTGCTCTGCGACATGTGAGATCTTCCCAGACCAGGGCTTGAACCCATGTCCCCTGCATTGGCAGGCGGATTCTCAACCACTGCGCCACCAGGGAAGTCCTCTACCCTCTTTTTTTACACCAAAGGTGCTATTACACTGTTTTGCACCTTTCTTTTTTCACTTAATATACCTGGAGATTCCTCCATAGCAAGATCTGGTGCAAACCCCCATTCTTTTCTGGAGCTGCATCATATTCCCTTCCAAAGACATAGTGTGGCTTATTTAAGCAGTCTCCAGTTGCTGGATATTTGGTTGTTTCCTGTCTTTTGTTATTTCAAAAAATACCACAAGGAATAATCTTGTGCCTAAGTCACTTTGCCTGTGTGCAGGTGCGCTTATAGTCTATTTTTGTTTCTTAACTAACTGTGGTGAAGGAGCAGGTTTTCCCTTTCAATTTACAATCTGTCGCAGATGGATACTTATGTAAAATTCAATAAAAGCAAATTCCTTGAGGAGTGAATTGAAAAAAAAAATCTAGGCAAAATACGAGTCCACATATTTTGTTATTACATCCAATAGACATAAAAATTGCTCTGTCGGGTTTCCCTGGTGGCGCAGTGGTTGAGAGTCCGCCTGCTGATGCAGGGGACACGGGTTCGTGCCCGGGTCTGGGAAGATCCCACATGCCACGGAGCAGCTGGGCCCGTGAGCCATGGCCGCTGAGCCTGCGCGTCCGGAGCCTGTGCTCCACAACGGGAGAGGCCACAGCAGTGAGAGGCCCGCGTACCGCAAAAAAAAAAATAAAAATAAAAATTTGCTCTGTCAAATTACTATAAAGGTTTTAAAAACCACTCTCCAAATTCATTTATGTTATCTCAGACTGGTCACAGCTTGTGGATCGGGTGACCGCTTTACTCCCAGGAATTAGGTCAAAGGGTAGACGCCTCTGTTGTTTTGCCAGATGTTGCCAAATCCCTCTCCATCGGGTTGTACAATTTTGCCCACCCACCAGCAGTATATGAGAGCGCCCCTTTTTCCACTGCCTCACCAAGAGCTGTCATCTCACTTGGATATGTGCTAAACTGACAGGTGAACAACGATATCTCAGTCCAAGTTTTCATTTGTGTTGCTCTTATTATGAGTGAGAATAGCATCGTTCATATTTTTAAGTCCTGTTTGTATTTATATTCTTTGCCATTTTTCTACTGGACTGTTGGTCTTTCTCCTCTTAATTCTCAGGAATTCTTTGTATATTAGGAATATTAGCCCCTTGTCTCTGATATGAACTGCAAATCTTTTTCCCTTTCTTGTCATTTGCCGTTTGATTTTGCTTGATGTTTGTTTTGGGGAGAGAGGGAGCATGCAGAAGTTTGTGGGTTTTATGTAGGTAAATTAGTCAATCTTTTCTTTAATAGCTTTTGGATTTGGAGTCGTGGTTCTCCACTCTAAGGTTATGAAGAATTCTGCCCACATTTTCTTCTAGTATTTTTCTGGTTTTATCCTTAACATTTAAACCTTTCATCCAGTGGAATTTTTCCTAGTTGGTGTGAGTTATGGATCTAAATTTATCTTTTTACAAATGACTACCCACTTGTCCTAACTCCATTTATTAAAATCCCTAAGATACCACCTTTATCATTAAAATAAATTTTAAGCCATTTGGGATCATAATAGAAAAAGCTCTATAATTTGTCAGTTTTGTCCAGAATACCATTACAAGGGAAATTAGCTTTCAAGGTATGATCTATAACTTTACATTACTAGAGCAGAGCAAACTCTTAAGTATGGTAAAAAAAATTAAATTTATTTAAACAGACAAACAAACAGATCCCGTGGGGCTACCGACAGGCACGGAGGAGATCGGGAGAGGTGGGCACCGCCGAGGGAGTGTGTGGTGAGAGTGAGTGTTTGCATTTCAGGTCTCCCCCTTGCCCGCCTCCAGGAGCTGGGAGTACAGAGGGGCCCACCATGGTGTTCCCGGGACCCCTGGCTGTCACCCTGCTGCCGCCCAGCCTCACACTGCTGGTGGTGCACCTCGCCAGCTCCCAGGATGTCGCCAGTGAACCCAGCAGTGAGCAGCAGCTGTGCTCCCTGAGGGAACACCCCATCGTGGCCTTTGCAGGTGAGAGCCACTTCCCTCTCGGTCCTTTTTTGCAATGACTGTGTCCTGAAGGACTTAGTGTCTCTTTGGCTGTTGGAAGTCATTTCTTGTAGGGTACGGGAGACTCTTCCTCTGGGGATAGATGTAAGAAGGATGGGCAGCCATGGGCTCGAGGTCTGATTTTAGTCTCCAGACAATTTGTTCAGGCCCTTCATCCATTTTTCCCTGGGGGAGGAGGTGGTCTTTCTCTGGAATTCCTTTGCCGGAGAATGAGGTTATAGATGCCCAGGGTGCTGTAGCCAAGGGTTGGTTGGTCATCTTGTGCTTCCAGCTCTTCTGGAAGCACAAGCTCTATTTCTTGGCTACCCTGGGAAAGAATGAAGCTGACTCGCTCATTAGGAAGTGCCTAGAGATCTCTGGAAAGGTTCCCTGTGCTCTAAGATGGCTGCAGGGATGCCTGTCTGGCGCCTTGGGAGCCCCCAGGGAAAGGGGCCTTGATGACAAATAACTCCTTCTGTCAAGGAAGGGCATGAGAGTGTCTTATCATAGTCTTTCCCAGACTGGAGTTTGTGAGTCGCTGGACATATTCTGAGGGGTCCATAAGTTCTTAATAAGTTTCTAAAATTAGTATATACATTTGATGATAATCTAAAATCATAACAAAACACAAATCCTGGAGCATCCTGCACGTTCTCCCTCAACCTGTTAGCCGGTTTGGTGGTCACTGGGGGTGTTAGGACCACATCGACACTTCAGGATCCGTCACCTCCATGATGGAGCTCACACTGGGATCTGCAGATGTGGTCTCAGGGGTCCCCATGTTCTTAAGTGATAAACACCCATCCTATTTCCTCTTCACAATAACACTGGCAGCGAGGCAGGGCAAGGGCTGTCACCTCTGTTTACAAATGGGGAGGGCTGAGGTGTAGACGGTTGGAGCGACTTGTCAGAGCCAGATCTCCGTGTCTGCTTCCTGACTCCATCCCGGGCTCTTCCCATTACCCGCCGCAAAGGGACCAGGTGCGTCCACCGTCAGATGCGCGGCAGCCCATCCTCTGTGATTCCACACAGCCAGCTGAGAGAGGCAAGATGGAAACCAGAGTGGAGAAATGAATCCATAAGACCGAGGCGGGCATGGGATTCGGCGGGTGGGGAAGGCAGTATGGATAGGAGTTGGGGCAGCGAGGTGGGGAGGCTGGAGGCGTTTCAGATGTGTGGGATTCCCAGCTGTGGGCTGGCTCCTGTCTCCGGGAGGAGGGTTTCCAGCTGTCTTCTCCGTGCTGTCTTGTTTGAGCTGGGATCTGAGGCTTCGAAGGCTTAAGTGGATTAGAGCAAATTAGTAATGTCCTTAAACCTACAAAACGCACGCACACCCTCCGACTTCTGATGGCTTCTGGAGGCTGTCACTGCAGGGAGGGACCAACGAGCAGAATCCTGAGCGTGTCCTCATGCGGGGGCCGCCTGCGGCAGCTCCTAATGAGCCCTTTCTTCTCAGGGGCTTTGCTGGGGCACGGCTGGCCTGGCTGATCCTGGGGCCATGGACAATGGAAGGAGAGCAGGGAAATCCCTGTCACCCAGCCAGGCGGATCTGTACTGGAACAAACTGGCTGGTGATGGGAGGAGGGTGGAGAGGTGGAGGATGTGTTCCTTGAAAGCCTGGCTTCCTTGACACCATTTCTGATCTTCAGCTGTAAATTACTTGAATGAAACTGACTTCCCACCCCACCCCCTTTCAGAAGGAAGGAATGAGGCCCAGAGTGACATAGGCAGTTGACACAGAGTGACTAAGAAATCCCCTGAGCCCCAGGTGAGCAGAGATGGTCCGTCCTAGACTGACAGCCCTGGAGACGGGCGTCATCTCTGTTTTTCCTCCTCAGGCCTCCTGGCCTCCCCAAAATTCACCCGTTCCCTCTTTCTGTTGGCTTTGGGTTTTCCTGTCTATTGGCCAAATTTTTCTTGGGCCCCTGACCCAATACCTGACTCCAGGCACGGAGCTGGACGCTGCGGGGCCTCAGAGGTGAAGAAGTTTCCTTTGAGTACTCATGTCCCTGTTGTTCCTTAAATGTCGCTCCCTTTGGTCCCCCAGTGCAGTTAGTCCTGGATGAGGGCTGGTCCTCTTGTCTCCCCGCATCCTTTAGTTCTGCTGGGCACAGACTAGGGACTCCATTCATGTTGGGTGACTATGTTCTGGGTGATGCCGTGTTCCAGAGAAGCTGCCATAACCCAGCCCTGCACCAGCCCCCAGCTTCCAGATGTTACATTTTACTTCTGACAGTTGAGTAGGCTTCTAACCCTGTAGCTGTGAGTTTCCGTCTCCCCTGACACCTGGCTGATCTGTGAATAACCCCTAAATACCCCAGAGGAGCTGCCAATTGCAGAATCTGACAGACGTTCTTCTGTTTTGTAAGGTTAAATTTTCTCCTATGGGTTTCTTTTAAGGGGATCCACCTGTGTGTCTCTCTGGCCTGCACGTTATTCCTTTTGCCACAGCTTGGTCTGTCGAGGTGGCGGGGAGAAGCCAGTATGGAGTTCACACTGGCAGTGGTTAATCCACAAAGTGGGTAATTGAATTGACTATAATTAAAATCACAGGCACGTCATGGAGAATGTCATTTTTCTCTTAAAGTCACTGTCCAAAGCGTTCACTGCACATGGAGCTCAGAACGTGCTCGGTGTTTTAACAACAGCCTTCCCTCTGGTCCTGTTTGCCTGTGTAATAAGAGGAAGCTGGCTCCCTTCCAAAGACAGCTCCCCCAGGATCACCACGCTGTGCCCGCTGCATCTCCCCCCCTTGCCCCTTCCTCCTTGCCCTTGTCAGTCACTTCGGGGTAAGGAAGAGGGACAGAAACTGGAAGGGACCGCCCCCCCTCCTCCACCCCCACCTCCCACTGTCTTCCTGGCTCCTGCCCTTTTTCCTCTTCCTCTCCCTTCTCCCCAAGAAAGGGTTGGAATGAAGGCTGAGCTGAGCCATCTCCAGATGGAGTTTCTCCTGGTTTGCTGCAGACCAGTCATACCACGTCTTCCCCTGTTCAGCTGCCCACATCTGGAATACCCCTGTCAGAATGGAAGAAGGGGATTAAAGTGCAAGCCAGTTGCTACTATTGAAGAACACCCAGTATGCTGGGGATGGCAACCCCTCACACACACACATACACACACACACATACACACACACCCCACCCGGAAAACAGATGAGCACATTCAGAGTGACAAAAACATGCAGTATGAATGGAACACGAAGGGTGGAGAGAATAGGGAACAAAATAAGATCAGGATGGAGAGGTTATAATCCAGGAAGGCTTCCTGGAGAAGGAGGACCCTTGGCTTAGTCTCTAAGGTACCATGATATCCTATCAGGGTTTCTGAGAGCAGCCCTGAGGTCAGCTAAAAACCCGGCCTACCCGACTCCACATCCACTCCTTATACTGTGATCACCCAAATGCCATTGCAACTTCGTGATGGTTCTTGCCAACCTATAGTCACCTGCTGAGGGCAGAGGCAGACACAAAGGATTTGCTTCATTTTGCTGCAGTTTTTCTTTCTTCTTTTTTGTAATCGTCCATATCACAGTTTTCTGAAAAACATCCAACTCGCAAAACCTTCAGTTCTCCAGGGAGCGATTAAGTGTTTGCCTGCCGTGCAGAAATGAAGCACTGCTTTTACTCTGTAGTGGAGGGATAATGAGCACTGATTTATTTCCCTTGGATCACACACACACACACACACGCACACACACACACACACACACACACTACTCTGGGCCTTCTGGGAGCCAGTTACTAATACACTGTGAGGAAGAAATCTCAGGGCCTCCTCACATTCCCCTCATCTTTACCCTATCGGCGGGAAAGTTCCTCTGCCCCACAGCTTTCTCTCTTTACTGGTCAGTTCCCTCACATCCATGAAGAAGGAGCTGAAGGAGAGCTATTAAGGGACTGTGAGCCAAGATGGGGGAAGTGGTTCTCCATTTGGAGGGAAAGTCAGCTGGGCACTGTTCCCCAGGTGTACCCTCTCCAGACCACTGCCCCATCCATCCAGAGGGCTTCGAGGTCTCCTCTGCCCACCTGGTCCCCATGAAAGACTTTGGCCTTGGCTGGGAAGATTCTTCTTGGAGACAGAGATGGGCGCTGCCCACCCACTCTCCATTCCTTCCACCTCTGTGGAGTCTTGTCTGAAAACCTGAGGCTTCTTGTACAAAAGGGAGTTGACGATTATTCATACATTCATTCAAATACTTCCAGCTGCTGGGAGGAGGCTAGAGCTCCCGGAAGCAAGATTTTCCTTGTCCCCCAGGGCAAACTACCCGATTAGACACCCAGTGAGATAGGAGCTTTGATGGCAGTCAAGAAGAGGTCTATGGGAGCCCGTCACCTTGCGTGGGGGAGTCAAGGAAGGCTTCTTGGAGAAGGTGGGGTGGGGACGGGGACAAACAGGAACTGTTCCACTGAGGAAGAATAGAATTGCAAAGGTTTGCAGGCTCCTGCGGGATAGATCTGGAGATGTGCACTGTGTTCTGGTTGAGTGTGGCTGGAGTGGAGGGTTTAAGGGGGAATGTATAAGCAGAAGCTGCATTCTTTCAGTGGATCACTAGATCACTAATGTGCCAGGCATTCATTCTACGTGGGAGGACAGTGGACCAGAACCCAAAGGAGTTGGGACTTTTCCTGGAGGAAACTGGGAGCTATTAAAGAGTTCTAAGCTAGAGAGTGACATAACCAGATTCGCATTTTAGAGAGATCACTTTGTTGCCTTGTGGGAAATGGGCTGGAGGGGCAAGAGTGGAAGCCATGCCTGTTAGGATGCTGTTGGCGCCAGTCCAGGCAAGAGATGATGGTGGCTTGGCTGGGGAATAGGGTGCAGAGGGCGAGATGGATGGATTTCAGAGAACGGACAGGATTTGCCAGTATGTTTGGCGTGGCTGGTGAGGGTCTCGGGGGGTCAAGGATGATTACAGGTGTCCCTTTGTGCAGCTAGGGGGTGGGTGGAGCCCTTCTCTGAGCTAGGGAACAAAGCAGGAGCAGTGACACCACCCCCACTCCCTGTCCCCCAGCCGGCTGCTCACAGAGGTGGGCAGGCAGAACCCAGATCTCCGGGGTGCCCCTGCCTCACTGCAGCCCTTCCGTTCTTGGGTCCGATGCTGGTGCAGCTGGGAGCCCCTGGGCCAACAGTAACCGAATGGCTGCTTCTCCCTCCCCCAGATCTGAAGCCATGGGTCTCTAACTTCACCTACCCTGGAGCCCAAGATTTCTCCCAGCTCGCTCTGGATCCTTCCAGAAACCAGCTCATCGTGGGAGCCAGGTAATGAGGTACAGGAGGGTTGGGGCCAGGACTGGGGGATCAATTCTAAGCGAACTGAGTGGAGGGAATATCATTTGGCATGACCCTCTGTGGGCAGACCCTCACCCTGGGCTCCTATTCCGCCCTACCAGGCCCTCTCTGTGTCTGAATGTCAGTCCCCCAGAAAAGGAAGCAGTGGATGGGTAGGTGGGGGGAGGTGGGAAGGAAGTGACCTCCAGATCTCAGCAAGACACATTCCTCAGGGTCTGGCAGTTATCAAGGGCAGGAATGCCTGCTGGAACCTCCCAGCCCCTGTCCCTGCCATCCTGCCAGGACCTACCTAGCTGGTGTCCTCCCCATGCAGAGAAGGTGCCCAGGAGCCCCCTGCTGGCTGGCTGGCTGCCTGCACCTGGGACATGAGACACGGGCCATGTGCTTCTTTTATGAAGGACCTCACCTCCCCGTTGCCTGATATCAGTTAGCCCCACTGCCCAGATCTGGTATTCAAGGGGTAATACACTCTAGGGAGGACTTGTAGAGACTTTACAGAGCAGAGTAGGAGGAGAGAGTCCTCAAAATCCTAGACCTTCAGCTCTGGTAGGGAAGGGAGCTTAGAGATGGTCTGTTCCAGTGGGACCAGAAGCATCAGCAGCATTGGGAAACTTGTTAGAAATCAAATTCTTGGGCCCTACCCCAGACCTGATGAGTCAGAAACTCTGGAGGTGGGGCCCAGCAACCTGTGTTTTAACAAGCACTCCAGGTAAGCCTGATGAACACTGGAGTTTCAGAATCACTGGCCTAATCCAACTGTCCTCATTTTCAACATGAGGAAGCAGAGGCTGGAGTGGGGAAGGTGACCTTCCCAAGACCACGTAAACAAGATGACAACAGAGTCTGGGGACGAGAACCCAGGTCCCCTAACCTCAGGGCTAGAGTTTTCTCTGCCAACCCACGTTACCACCTCCAACTGCACTGCTGTTTTTCAGAAGCTCTTCGCCCCAGGGGTTCTGATTCAGCAGGTCTGGGGTGAGGGAGGATGGTCACTGGGTTGGATGCCTCCAGGCTCCACTGTGTAGCTGACCATCCTTGACTTCTGGGCTTTCCTGAGTGGCCCCACCCCTTCATTTGCCACGTGAAAAGGAGGCAAGTCGAGGACGGAGCTCTGGACCAGATGAGCTGCATTCTTGTCCTGGGTAATCTTGACCTGTGAGCCTCAGTTTCCTCATCCGTAAAGTCCGGGTTATGTGATGCTGCCAACATCACAGAGCTATTAAGAAGCTGGGGCTGAATGCATTTTATTTTTTTAATTTTGAAATTAACTTATTACTTTGCATCAGTGATATGTGTTATGGTATAACATTCAGAAGGTACAAAAGTGAAAAGCAGGGCCAGCCCACTATACACCAAGCAGGACCCCTCACTGGAGGCGTGCCCTGTGGTGAGTTTGCATGTCCTCTCGAAAGTAATCTCTACATATGCAAGTATACAAGAGTGTGGACCTTATTTTCCAAGCAAAGAGAATCATTGTTTTACTTTTTATGTTGAGATAATGGTAGATTTACGTGCAGTTGTAAGAAATAATACAGAGATCGCATCCTTATATCCTTCACCCCATTCCCCCCCACACAGTGGTAACATCTTGTATAACCATAATACAACACTGCAGTCAGGAAGCTGACATTAATGCCATCCTTCCACCTGATTCAGAGTCCACCAGCTTTACATATGTAGTTTTTAGACTCCTGATGCCTTTGAAATAAGACAGAGAAAGACAAACACCGAATGTTATCATTTATATGTGGAATCTAAAAAATAAAACAAACGAATTCATATAGCAAAACAGAAACAGACTCACAGATATAGAGGACAAACTACTGGTTACCAGTGGGGAGAGGAAAGGAGGGGGGCGAGACAGGAGTCGGGGATTAAGAGAAACTATTATCTATAGAATAAATAAGCCACAAGAATAAACTGTACAGCACAGGGAAATAAAGCCAATATTTTATAATAACTTTACATGGAGTATAAGCTATACTTTTTTTTTTTTAATTAAGACTTTTGTTTTTTAGAGCAGTTTTAGGTTGGCAGCAAACTTGACAGGAAGGTACAGAGAGTTCCCATAGACACCCCCGCCCCAGGCAGGCCCAGCTTCCCTCACCACCAGTAGCCTCCACCACAGGTGCATTTGTTACAATTGATGAACCTACACTGACACATCATCATCACCCAAAGCCCAGCGTTTACCTTAAGGTTCACTCTTGGTGGTGTACATCTGTGGGTCTGGACAAACGTATAATATCATGTACTCATCATTAGGGTAACATACCCAGTAGTTTCACTGCCCTAAAAGTCCCCTGTGCTCTGCCTGTTCATCCCCGCCGCCACCCCACCCCCTGGCAACCGCTGATCGTTTTAATGTCTCCATAGTTCTGCCTTTTCCCAGAATACCATATAATGAAATCATACAGCATATAACCTTTCCAAATTGGCTTTTTTCACTTAGTAATATGTATTTAAGCTTCCCTACGTCTTTCCATGGCTTGATAGCTCATTTCTTTTTAACACTGAATAATATTCCATTGTCCTGATGCACCACAGTTTACCCACGCAACTACTGAAGGACATTTTGGTTGCTTCCAAGTTCTGGCAATTATGAATAAAGCTGTTATAAACATCCGTGTGCAGGTTTTTGTGTGGATATAAGTTTCCTTATTTAAGGTTTTCGAGCAGCAGGCTGATATGATGAAAACAGTGTTTGAGGAGGATGAATCTGGCAGCCCCGTGCAGGTGGCGATGTGGAGGAGAGGAAGCACGAAGTGGCAGAGGGGCAGTTTGGGCAAGAGGAGACAGGCTGGGCCAGGGAGGTGGCCGAGGGAAGGAGGAAGATGACCTGCCTGGGTCCCCACAAGAGCTCCATGAGGCTTTATGTTGAACAGAAACAGGTTCCATGGTTGGGAAGGGGGTGTGGGAGGCTGTGCCCAGGGCCTGCTGGGATGGCGGGGAACAGAGACAGTGTGGGCTTTGGGAGCAGATGCGTCTGGGTTTCAATCCCACATCCTGCACTTACTATCTCTGTGATTTGGGCCATTTACCCAAACTGTTTCCTCTTCTGTAAAATGGAGTTTTCTCTCTACTCCCGGCGTGGCAGTGCAGATTAAATGAGCAAATGGAGGTGAAGCTCTCCCTGGGGTCGGCCCACTGTCAGCCGTCTGCAGTCGGCACCCAGTCCTGGCACCCCATGAGGCAGGAGCCAGGAAGCTGTTCCTGGAGACCTACCTGCAGAACCAGCCTGACTTACCATCTCTGTTTCTGTTTTCACAGGAACTACCTCTTCAGACTCAGCCTTGCCAATGTCTCCCTCCTTCAGGTACATTTGCTTCCCTTCCCTGTAATTTCCCTGGTATTTGGGGGCTGGGGCCAGGGCAGCACAAGGAGTGAGATTCAGAATTCAACCCCCAGGGTTGAAAACAGGAGCCCTGTGTTCTTTTCACTGGCTGTGGACTCACACTGGCAGTGGGGGTAATGGCTGGGAAGATATTTGGAAGTGGGGGCGTGGCCACAGAAACACGGGGGCACACGCGGGGCTCCTGCGTTGTGAGGACAGGAGCTAGGTGCTCCTGTTTGCCTAGACTGAGGGGTCCCAGGACGCAGGACTTTCACTAGAACCAGTACAGTACTGGGCAAACTGGAACGGCTGGTCATGCTAAGTCCAGCTGCTAAATCCACAGGAGGGTCTCTGGGTTTGGGCCTCGAGGGAAAGGGTGGCCCTGGTTCCTTTCTTAGCCTGGCCTGAGTGATCCCATTGTAGCTCAGCGTTTTCACTGAGCTGCGACTGATTTGTTCTCTGCTGCCAGGAAGGACTCCCCCAGCATCATTCCCTGAGTGCTTTGGGAGGCACTTTGATGGGACTCCTGGATCCAGAACATTTATCCCAGATTGAGAAACAGATGCCGTATCACCTCTGCAGAGGCTGGACGTTCTAGAGAAAGGAAGGCCATCTCTTTGTCAGTGAGGGGAGGCCTCAGTTCCTGCGTCCAGGGGAGGCTTGCTGGTCTCCAGCGATCAAGTGTTCCTTGAGCACTTGCTGTGTATCAAAAGTGAGCTGGGGGCTTCCCTGGTGGCGCAGTGGTTGAGAGTCCGCCTGCCGATGCAGGGGACACAGGTTCGTGCCCCGGTCCGGGAAGATCCCACATGCCGCAGAGCGGCTGGGCCCGTGAGCCATGGCCGCTGAGCCTGCGCGTCCGGAGCCTGTGCTCCGCAACGGGAGAGACCACAACAGTGAGAGGCCCGCGTACCGCAAAAAAAAAAAAAAAAAGTGAGCTGGGGGAGGAGGGGCTATAAGACAAGCAGAGTCTCTGGCCGCTAGGGCTCACAGCACAGCCAGGAAAAGATGATGAGTGATACACAGAACCTAATTAGAGAATGGTACAAGGAGTTAGTCAGGGCCTGGGCTATTTGGTATCGTGTTTCACTACAAAGGGCAGTTGGGGAAGGGGAGACCTCCTTGGTGAGCTAGTGTGACACTCTGGTCTAGTTTCTTCTAGCTGCACCTGGGTCTAGACCCCCAGGGGCCATTGCAGCTGGTTGCCACAGAGGAGGTGCTCCACAGGGAGCAGAAAAGGTGTGACCATCCGAAAGGAGGAGCCAGGAAGAACTAGGGGAAATTGAAAAGAAATTCCATTCATCCATTTTTAATAAACATTAATAAACATTAACAAACATTTATGGAATACCTACTATATGCTGGGTGCTGTCCCAGGCACGGTACTAGGCATTTGAGATCCCAAGGTGAATCAGGCTCTGTCCCTTGCCTGAAGGAGCAAGCATATAAGAGTTCATAAATGATTCCCTTTCCTGGATGGGACATGTTCCTGGGGCCTGGGCTGGAGCAAGGTGGAGTAAATTCCCAGAGGCAGCATCCCATGTCCTGCCAGCTTGGTTGGTCACAAGCAGCCCAGCCAGAGCCTAGTTTCCAAGTGACTTCCATGGGAAATGAAACCAAGATGCCAAACCCTGCAGGTCAGGGCCTGGGGGCAGCCAGTGCACAGATGGTCCAAAGTGGGTGGGAGGAAGTGGATCCAAGGGTCCTGCCTTATGCTCAGGAGAAAGTTGGCTTTTTATTAAGTTCCCATGGTCAGCAAATGAAAGTCTTCTGGAACAGTAAAGTGGCCAAAGTGGGGAAAGAGAGACAGATGCACAGAAATAATGGCAGTGCTGTGGGAAGCATGTAAGAAGGGGTGCATGCCAGGTGCCAGGTGCCCAGAGGCATGAGGAACCCCCAGGCTCCGCAGGGTCTGAAAAGTCTTCCCAGAGAGCTGCCCTTGGGCAGCAGTTTGAAGGATGGGGGTTGGCCAGGCAGCTAAGGAGGAGACAAGGTGTGAAATAGCATGGAGCACTGAGGGGGGCAGTGTGGCAGGATCATGGGGTGGGAGTGGGATAAAGGTAGGAGATGAGGCCCAGGAAGAGAGAGAGGCTACATCACAGAGGGTCTTCATGGCTGAGCAGAAGGGTCCATATTTTATTTTGAAGGCAAAGAGGTATAAGCCGAGAAGTGGCATGAACAGATTTGGTGTTCAGATCACCCAGCCCAATGCAGAGAATGCATTAGCAGAGGAGCTCGTTAGGAGAAACGGCAACAATCCCGGTAATTGATGGGGACAATTGAATTAAGGCAGCAGAGTGGGGGTGGAGAGAAGAAAGGAAATGATCTCCAGGTGGCAGAATCATAGCGTCACAGCATCACACGGCTCCACAGAGCACCAGGCACATTGTCTTCTGCGTGAAGGTGACCCCTAGAGTTGGGAAGCTGGCAGCCCTGGAGGGCTTCGCGAAGGCTTGGACTACAGTGGTACCATCTAGGTTTCTGGCTTGCAGAGCTGGGTAGCATAAATCAGGATGGGACTGGAGCTAGCCTGACTCTAGACACTGGTTCTCCCTCGGTTGCCCGCTAGAATCACCAGAGGAGCTTTACAAAGCACTGATGCCCAAGAGGTTCTGTTCTAGGGTACAGCCAGCCGGGCACTGGGATTTTTAAAGGCTCCCAGGTGATTCCTTTGTGCAGCCAGATATAGGAACCACTGCTCTAGGATGTTAAGGCCTTTTTTGTAGATGCTGCCCAACTGGTTCGGCTTCCCCAGGTGTCCTTGACAGTTGACCTGCAGGTCCTGGGTCCCGTCCCTTACCAGATGTTAGGACCCTCCGGCTTGATGCTGAGGCCTGGCGTTTGGTTCATTCTACTCCGTGTGGATCTGGTCTCAGCCATGGGAAGGTACCTTCTGCCAGCCCTATCACTCATGATTGAGGCAGGAGCTGGGCCTCTGGGGCTTTTCTGAAGGCTTTTCTGCAGACCAGCCACAGCTGCACCAGGAATTGGTTTTACCACCTTCCCAGGGTGTCTCTTAGGGCCTGACTCCAGGAGTTCAGATTGGATTCTTTGTAACAGAGCTAAGGAGATAAATAAATACAATTCATGTTCACATCCCCACCTCCCCACCATAGGGGGAACCACCTAGCCACAAAGAGGAGGGAACGAGAGAGAAGTTAGAGCGGGCTGTCCAGCATCCCCTCGACCAGGCAGGAGGCCGACCTCAGCCTCTGGTCTCCTGGTTTGTACTCTGATGAGAAAGCCCTGCCTTTTGACCATGAAAGCTGGACTTCATTGAGCGCTCCTCCATTGCCCTGTCTGGGGCTTTGGGTTCCTGTTTATAAGCTTTCAGTCCACAGCATCTGCTATCACAATTGGCTCACAGCAACTAACTGCTAAAAATGAGCTGCACCCCTTTGCTGAAAAGAGGAGACAGGGTCAAGGCCTCCCTGCTCCCCAGCCCAGCTTCCTTTACTCTCCATCCTGCCTGGTGCACACACGCAGTTATAAATCTCCATTACAGACAACTGATCCTCCCACGTGGCCCCAGGGTATGATTTAACCAAACTTAAACCTCAGTGCTTTATTGATAGTTTAAATAATTAACATCCCTTAAAGAAAAATCTAAATGCAAACAGTTTATGCAAACCAGTGTCCATTAAAAGGACTTCTAAGTACCTAACCCCTGTTAAATAATTTGTGTAAACTACTCTGCCTTAAGGAAAATAGAAAAACCCAGCTTCCTTCCAAGTCTCTAAGCAACGAGGGAGGAGAGATGCAGGTAGCGGCAGAGGGGGCAGGGTGCGTGCGTGCCTGCGTGTGTGTGTGTGTGTGTGTGTGTGTGTGTGTGTGTGCGTGTGCGCGCGCGCACGCCCGTGCTTGCAGAAGGGGAGGGGAAACCAAATCAACTCACCAGTGATTGTCATTTATCACTGTAACTTACTAAACTGGTGTGGGAAAGAAAAGGTGGCGAGTGGTCGACAGTGTCAGGGGGATGCTGAATGATAAGCTTACTTGGATTGGTCAATCAGGAGCTCATGAGCCACCTGTGCCACAGCAGTTCCAGAGGATGACATGGCTGGAGGCCTAATTGCAATGGATGTATGATCTTGGGCTGCCACGTGTCCTGCACGTGCAGACATGGGGACTGTTCTGCACATACGCATCAGGATGCACATGGGGCTTTGTTTGCGCCTGGGCAGATGGTGAGGCTGATCCTGAGCTCTTTTCTCGTTGTCTCCACATTGTCCAAACTAAGCTGGCAGCTCCATAGTTTTTTGAAATCTAAACTCTGATGAGCGGTGGACTTAATGCTCAGCTGTTTTAATGTTCAGCCGTCGTCTCTGGTGTCCAGGGGTGCTGCTGAGTCTGTAAGGAGATTATCCAATTCCTGGCTGTCTCAACTGCTCTCCCCATACCAGAAAACCATGCCGTTTCTCTTTGCTAGAGACTGCCGTCCTGGAATTTCTGGGACAGTCCTAGTTTAAGGCGTTCTGCATGGCCGATTATCATACACATCTTATCTCCACTCCTTCACAAAATTCACTAAAAGGACAGTGAGAAATTTTAAAAGGTACAGATCTGCAATGACAGAGAGAACAAAAGAGATGTCAGTAGAGAAGAGATTAAATGTATTCTGGGAAGGTGGAAAATGGATGGAGCAAATCATAACCAATTTAGTAGAGTAGAACAGTTTTACAGAGGGAGATATGCCAGAGAAGCATGATGACTCCCCAGAAGGCCTCAGAAATTGGGGTGTTGGATATTGTGGAATGTGAGGATGAGGTACAAGGCTAAAAGGGGGAAATGGTTGAAATTATCTAAATTGAGAGGTCAGAACCCACATCTCCTGTCCCATCCCACACAGTAATCCCTTCCTCCATTTCCCCCTCCCCCAATAAAGGGAGATTAAGACCCTTTTTTTTTCATTAAAAAAAAATTTTATTGAAGTGTAGTTGATTTGCAAAGTTGTGCTAATTTCTTCTGTGCAGCAAAGTGACTCA